CAAGGCCACATCAGGGAGGTGGCCCCGGCCTCTGGCAAAAGGTCCCTGCTCCTCCTTCACAAATGCGGGTGGGTGTAGCCAGGGACACTGAGCCAGTTCTGTCGCCTGAGGGGAAGTTGGCTGGGAAGCAGCTAGAAAAGATTTCCTCTACTGATAAAAGGGGACCTGTGCTCCCTGCACCCCTCCTGTGGCCCCTGCAGGACAGCAGGGTGGAGAGCGGCCAGCGCTGGGCTTTGCCAGCTGCCCTGTTGAGCTGCTGTCCACTCCAGAGTGCTTTGCCATGGGACAAAGAAAATCTTTTGTGTCAACTGCTCGTGGCCGGGGATTCTGCTCCTTGCAGGCCAGACCATCCCGATGCCATACAGTGGCCGCCACTGCTCTCTTCGCTTCTCCCACCCGGGTCTGTCCCTCTCCTCCCCTCCTTCTCTTCCGAGTGGCACTTCTGCCCCCAAGCCATCCTGCGCTCCTCCCTGGCTCAGGCCTCATCCAGCTCCGTGGGACCTGTCCTCTGCTCAGGGCCTCCTCTCCGCCCCCGGAGCTCCTGCGGCTCAGGCCTGCCCAGCCCCCACGTTTGGAGCTCGGTGCTCCCGCATCGACCCACATTCGTCATCCTCGGGGTTTTTCTCGGATCCGAATCGGATGGTGTTTCCTAGCTAAGTATCTATGGGCTACAGAGTCACGTTCAGAGTCCCGAGCATGGCCCCAAACCGCCTTCCGCTCTCGCGTCCTGCCGCTGCCCAGACCCTCCTGTCAGTCTCCCCTGAGCAAACCCTCACCCCACTCATCCTCCAAAACCCAGTTCGAATGTCCCCTCCTTGTGAAGCCCTCCCGTCCCCAAACACACACTCCTTCCTCTGTGAGCTCACAGCCCGCTGTTCCCCTTAAACCGCTGTCATGATTCTCATCTTCCATCCTGATTACATGTTCCCGAGTAGACTGGATCCCGCTAGGGCAAGTGTGTGCATCAGAGTCCCCAGTGCCTCCCAGTACGGTGTTTGGCACGAGTGATTAGCCAACTTGTGGTGGGAGAGGTAGCAATACTAAACACCTTCCGGTGCTTTCTGTGCAGAAACCCCAGTCTCGTCCACCTTAGCACTGCCCCTCCCCCCTCCCCCCCATGCCCCATTCTGCCCAACCTCCTCTTCCCTGCAGTGGGCTCCCAGGGGAGAAGTCCATCTTGCCAGATGGAATCTGGCCCTCTCCTGAGTTGGCTGCAGGGGCAGGGGGTGGGTGCAGATCCATTCGGTTCTGGCCACCTTGGCCCTCAGTAAAATAACTGGACGGGTCCGCAGAAGAATCTGGCTTGCGCTTGGCAAAATCAATTTTCCCACGTCTGTGAAATCCCCAAGATCTAGAAAAAAGCAGATGATGCCCAGATTTCGTCTAAGACACAGGCTGCGTGAGAGCACGACCTCTGCCTACCGCCGTCCCCTGAACCCCGAGCCCCAACCAGAGCCGGGTCTAGAGCGGCTGCTTTGTAAACGCTGCTGAATGACACCCAACCCCAGGCTTATTTCTGAGAACCAACAAACTCAAGCGCCCAGCAACGCAGGACAGCGTGAGCGCATGTGCGGGAGCGTTTGCGACGGCCACACTGCCCGTCACAGCACACACTCTGAAACACTCCACGGAGCGTTATGCTGCCGTTAAAAAGACAGTCTACAAAGATGTCACGACACGGACGATGTCTTCTGTCACACAGTTACAGGGAAGTATACACGGCAATGAGTGATGTTTATCACGTGATGTGAAAGCAAGCAAAAAAAACCCCAACATCTCACAAGCAAAAGGCTGGCAGGGGCGACAGCGACAATGGCTGGTGGCTCCCCGCCCCTCTGTCCTGTTCTCTGTGCTCCAGCTTTACATGCACGACACAGAAAGTGGGAAACGCACTTTATCCTTCGAAATGACATGCAGAGCGTGGAGCAGCGGCTGTGCCAGGCTCTGGGCTCCACCCTCACCCCTCACGGGGGGCGGGGTTCCGAGACACCCTCAGGGGCTGGCCAGGCTGGCGGGCCCCAGGGCCCGGCGGCTGTGGCCTTCCCCACCCCAAACCACTGGGCGCTCAGCAGAGTAGCAATCAATCAGCCCTGCCTGGGCCAGACTGGAAACCGGCCGCGGGGCAGACAGTGCCCTCCCTAGGCTGGCCACCCCTGGGCATGTATCTCAGGAATTCCCAGAAAGGACTCAGAGGGGAATTTCCCAGACAGGCAGACAGACAGACAGACAGACTGACACCTCAGACAGCTCCCGCCACTGAGCACAGATGTTTGCCTCCGGGTGCCGGTGCCGAGAGCCTGCACAAGCCCACGACTTTGCGGTGAGAGGTAGGCCGATGCCAGAGCCAAGACGAGGCCCGCCTGGGCACGCCGGAGCGGGGGGTGGGGTCCGAGTGGGTCACGGGGTCGCGTCTCCGAGCCCACGCCGGCCCATGGGGATCGCGCAGTGCCTGCAACTCTCCTCTCGCCCAGCAGGGGCCGCAGCGGCTCTCGCGGGTCCGCGGGCGGCGCCACGCGCTTGCAGGCAAGTTTGTTGTGTCCCTGCTGGCTCGTCACCTCCCCTGCTGGTCCGGGGGCTCTCCGAGGGCAGGGACCTTATCACCCTTACCCTCACTGCCCATCAGGACACCCGGCGCCTAGGGGTGCCGTGGAAGGCACAAATACATGCAGTGAAGAGCTATGAGATCAAAGCCTTGAGTGAGAATGTTGGGAACAGCGCCAAGCCCGGGAAGGAGGGCTCTGCGTCCCGTTCGTGTCCCGAAGCCCCCTACACCTCTTCTCCACCCGGCTTGCCCACACCTAGGTGCAGGCAGGGCGGGAGCTGACATGGCCCCGCCCGGCTGGGCCGAGCGAGCCTCAACCTGAAGCTGCCGCCAGAGCACGCAGCCCAGGGACCCCACACGTTCCCGCCCAGCAGCCCCAGCAGCCAGAGAAACGGGAGGTGTGCCCCAAACCGTCTCCCGCGGGGGGCAATCCTCTGTAGGCTACCATCGCCCCTCCCGTCGCGAACCCCTCTCCTGTTTCTTTTCAGAGCAGTGTGTCCCGCAGAAGCACCTTCACAGACTAGTGATGTCGCCCCCTCAACATTTATTGACCAGCAACTATGTGCATTAAGGACTGTGCCAGGTGTTGGCAACACGGCAATGAGCCAAAAGCTCGCTGTCCTCGTGAAGCTTTGATTCTATGGGACACAGGAGAAGGGATGGAGTGACCCCGCCAGGGGCACGTGGGCAGCCAACACCCAGGTGTCCTCCCAGGTGTGCACACCGCGAGTGAGGCGCCGCCCTGGAGCTGGTCTGTGGGTAGACTTCGGCCCCGGTGGGAGGGGCGGGCTGCTTGTCGGGTAAACTCCGGGCTGGGCACGTCCCCTGGGGCAGGTGCGCGCCTAAGGGTGGGGGCAGCGCGCAAAGCCGGACCAGGACCGGCCGCTGCAGAGTGGCTGGCCCTGCACTTAGTCGGCGCTGGGTAAATATTTACCGTCCGCGAGGCCTGACTCGCCTCGCACAGCAAGCGCCCCGGGGGTGGGGACCGACCCCGGCCCTCCCCCGCCCCCGGCTCCTCCCCAAGGGGTCAGCGCCGAACCAGCCATGGCGTCCTGGCCCCGCGTAATTACAGGGGCCGTCGCCAGGCCTGGCCGTAAAAGAGGAGGATGAAATTGTCTGAGAACCGGGGAAGCTGGGCCCGCGCCGGCCGGGGGCCCCGGTGTGCGGCTTCCCCCGCTGCGCAGCCGGCTGCAGGGCCGGCCAGGAGTGCCCACGCACTCTAACGCCAACCCGGGGCGCGCGAACAGCCAGCCACCCGATCACACAGAAGCCACCAACACGCAGGCACACGGCACCGGGCCCTCCCGCGCCAGACACACACGCGCCCAACCAAACACCTGCCCGTCCGCTCCATCCCGCGAGCTGGGAGGCAGACACCCACCCGAAAGCCCCCTTCCAGACGGCAGTAGACCCCCGCGGGGTTGGGGGAGGCAGAGCGAATTCCAGCGGGTTTGTTTACAGCGCTAGGGGGAGGGGGCCGAGCTGGGTCCTGGGGCCTGATGACTGGGGAGACCCAGCCGCCCCGCCCCGGGACGCGGCGCAGACACGCCTGCCCCCACCTCACGTACGCCGCTCCCCTGTGCACACCCCCCCAATATTAGCATACAAACGTCAGTTTCACACGCTTCCCCACCCCACACGCGGCTGAGAGTACTCACAAATGCTTTCACACTTGCGCGCCATCACACGTATCTGCACACTCCAGATGCACATGTGTGGTTACAGTTTGTCACCCTTCATGCTCAGATTCTCACAGTCCATATTTAAAGCCCGTTCGCACGGTACACACGAGTACTGGCACACACACGCACACACACGCACACGCTCACGTCGCTAGTGCCCTGGAAACATGAGTGGACCCGCTCGGGGGCTCGGGATCCCGAGGGTCTCCCCCTCTCACGGGCGCAGAGGGGCCCTGAGCCCGTGCCGCACACGGTAGGCACTTGATCGCACTTTCTTCCCGGCATCTAGGCGATGACACAACCTCCCGAACAAAGACAACATTGACAAACCCAACAAAAACAAACAGCCGCGTGTGCGGGGGGGGGAGGGGCAGCCGAGCGGCAGAGTCCGGAAAGGGGTGATGAGTGTGGGAACGCGGCGCCCGAGCTTGGGGTGCAAGGTTCGGGAAAGGTGCTGTACCTAGCGACAACCTTGCACCCTGAAAGATCCGGGGACACAGACCCCCCACACAAGCCCACAAAGCCGCGCGCAGACCCACAAGTGAGCGAACACGCCGCGCGGAGCCGATCGGTCCCAGCAGAGGCGCGCGCCCGGCTCGGCTCCCCTCCCCTCCGCGCCTCTCCCCTGCGCTCCCTTTCTCCGCCTCCCCAGCCCCGAGGCCGCAGGGCA